GCTGGTCCCTGTGAGTCGTGGGGCCAGCAGGGAAGCAGGGGTCAGCTGATCATCCCCCTTACATGGGCTCCCCCAGGGCAGAGCATGGAGTGACGGGGGAAGGAGAAGCCAGGCAGGGGTGGGGCTGCAGGTGTTGGCAGCTGCAGGGCTTCTCCCTCTCTGCCCTCAGGATTTGGGGGTTTCATTGTGCTGCAGAACATGGAAAAAGGAGGACAGAAGGGGCTGGATGAAGAGCTGGGCCCTCAGAGCAGAAGGCCCCAGGGAACCTCATTCCTACCAGCCGTGTGAGAGCTGTGAGGGTTTGAAACCCCTGAGCCCAGAGATGACTCTACTCCAGCAGCTGCCAACGGGTCACCGGAAACTGCAAACCCTACTGGGCATCCTATGGGCTGTGGATGATCAGCTCCTCCTAGTGGTCAGTGTCACACACAGCCTGGGGCTGTTCCTCTGCATGGCTGTGGAGCAGCGTCACTTCACAGTCACTGTGCACACCCCAGCTGCTCCTTCAGGGGCTGGTCTCCTTCTCTGCGTGATGCAGGGTGAGCAAGTCATCAGCTTCCTCTCACCTCTGGGGAGATTAGTCATGATGCAAAGGCCATGATGAGTTTTTTTCCAATGTCGTGTCACTGCCAAAAGTCCTGTGGGAACAGAGCGCCTGCAAGCCAGCATAATTCAGATTAATAGAAATACTGACTGAAAGCAGCAATTGCCTTTCACATGCCCCAATGTGTGCCCCATGGGGCTGTCAGAAAAACCATCCTGTGTGGCACAACCTCCTTTAAAGGGCTCTGTGCCATTGGTGCACATTTCTCAAACTGGAGGCACACGTTTGTAATTCTTGCGACTGTTTATACTAATCCCCAGCAGGTCTGAGTGTGGAGGGAGAAGTGCAACTGTTGTGGAAAGTAGCCGGCGTGAAGGTGTGTGGTCCTTGTGCCGTGCTAGTGAGAACTGTCATTCCTTTACATGCTGATGCAGCCCACTCTGTCCCCTACCTTTGGGCTAATTTTCTCAGAAATTTTTAAAGCTCTGCAGGGGTAGTCAAGTTAGTCTGTAATGGGAAAAACTTAAATAACCACACATAGTCTAGCAGCACCTTAGACTCTAACAAAACATATAGATGATATCTTGTACTTTTCTGAGCACAGCCCACTTTTTCAATGAATGGAGTTATTAAAGATCCAGCTATGAAAAGGGGCCAACCAGCCAATAAATGTTGAGGAATTTTTTTATGCGGGGCCTAGTTCGGGCTGGTCGGCATGATCCAAGTCTCAGCAAGGACAGGAGCCCAGGCGCTGATGGGTGAGCTCCGTGTTCTCTGGACAGTGTCTCTCGCCACCCTGCAACCTGGCTGCCAGACGTCACAGGGTGATCCAGGCCTGCTGCAAGTATCTGCTCCCCCATGGAAACTCACTCAGGATGCCAGCCTGTGTGCACTGGGGCACAGAGAGCCCAAGGGAGAGTTCACTGCGCCCCATCCATCCCACTGGCCCCACTGGGCTCAGCCAGGGGAGTCATTGGAGACAGGCTCCTTCAGC